AATAGTGAAATATGGTGCTAGACTTAAATTGACGAATATCTTATTTCTGATTCTTTCACTTTCTTGTTATAAGAACTGAAAAACTACTAATATAAAAATATGTTGTCCAATTCAATGTAGTCGTTTGAGAGTAATAGCGTTATATAGTAGTAACAGCACTGAGAATATGGATTGAAAAACACATTAACTTACATTTTCTTACGTTATTCAACCATTGAAGTAATGAAATAAGTCAGTTGATGTAAGCGAGCTGATCACTGTTAAAAAAACTCTGCTGAACATAATGGGATGTCATATTTCAAGTTTTCTTTTTAAATCAATTTTTTCACTTTATTCTTTACAATGTATCTCTCCCTTGCCCTTACCGGATTTAGTTTTGCTGCTGGTGATGCTGATGCCGGCACTGACGCTAGCAGCTACGTCACTTCTCAACCGATTTTTTTCAAATTTCTCTGTAACTGAAATACAAGAGCTACTTACATCTGCACCACAAGAGATACATCAAATTTTATTAATATATACCTATATGCTATCTAAATTAATGTGTCCTTTATATTATTCCCGATAACTCCGAAACAAGAGGCTGTGGTACATAGATATAATAAAAACTTTTCACCTGTTAACGTTAGTTATGACTACATACCCAATATTGACAAGCCTTATAGATGAATATGGACAAGTTCCGAAAATTAAAAGGCTCGCGTTTTAAGCCTATAACCCTTACTAGACTGCTCTTGTTTACAATTTCTTTATCAAACTAATAAAGTTGATGACATCTATCTACTCACTGTTCTTCTTATTATTATTATTACGTTTGGCCTTCTTCTTCGGTTTCTTGGTTGTATTTTCTGTGTACGGGTTGGTTGTACGTTTAATTTTATTATTAGTTACACATCCATTGAAATATTTAATGATTTGCTTTGCTACTTACCTGTACTTGGTTTGCGGTTGCGTTTATTATTTTTATTATTTTTTGGTGTACGTTCTTTTGCTAAACAAGAATAAACTGTATTATTAAGATTATAAGCATTTATATATCCTTTTGTATGAATAATATTAAATAAGTTGTATTAGTATTGAAAATATATCTACATCGATAAAATACACTGTAATATGGATCTACAGTTAATAGTAACACGTACCTTTCTTCTTCGTCTCTCCACGCTCTCTGTTTAGCTTAGACTTTTTGTCTTCGTTGTCATAGTCTGGATCTATGTCTCTTTGTATATGTTTCGTCCCTTTATTTGTCTTGCGACCTCGATGGTTAAGTATCAGATGCCTATTCGGTTGCATATTTTTTTCCAATTTCAAAATTGTGCCAGGAGGTGGAGTGATCGGACGTTCTATAAGGACATATTTTAGGAAAGTATAAAAACTAAGTGTTTCCCTTAAAATATTTAGGTGCTCAGTTACTGTATTAGCAAATAAATTGATTTACCTACCGAAACGGTTAAATTGAAAATGTACGACTTTTAAGCTTTGATAATCGTTTTTCGATATTTCATATTTATTCTGTTATTCTAATCGAGATTCAAAATTTCAAACAACAAAAAAAATCTGTCCGATTTATCAGGATCACCTTGATGGTGTAACTCCATTGTGTAAGTAACACTAACTAAGATATAAGTAACTATGAAAATAAGTACAATACTTTTGTGTCTCCGTCTTAGGCCAGGTTTCGAAGAAGTCGTTGGTGCAGATTCTCTCTTAAACAGTACTGGAAACGAAAACCACGTTGAACTGAGGCATTTTATAGTAAGTAATTTAATCAAAAAAAAAATTCGGTACCCATATGGAAAATTGTTCTTCCATATGGTATATGTATAAGTCTATAATATGTATAATATAATATGTACTATACATATGTATAAGTCGGTAATAATGGAAGAACAATTTTTATTTATATTCTAAAATGTAGCGTCTAACACTCGCCATGTAGTTTTTTTAATGATATATCTAAATATACTTGCAAGATCAGAATGTAACTACTACTTATGTAACGATATGTCAAATCGATCAGGTGGTTTAGAAGAAACGATGTAATAAAGAATATTACACTCATACCCATATGGGTAGTAGGTATTGTATGTACCTATGTATATAAATAGGTACATACAATACTCAATACTTTATTACTTTCCACAGGTATGACTCAGTTGGTAAACATAATTAATACACAATATGGACCCTTTCGGACACAATAATATAAGTTTTGGAGAGTACACACTTTACTACAATAAAACCAATGACAATTGCAATACAAAATAAAATTAAGTTAAATTGAGTAATATTTAAGACCCAGAATCATTTTTTAAATTTTATACAATCAAAATTAAATAAGTAATCATAATAAAGGAAAAATAAGTAACCATAATAAAAAAAAAGTAAATCACAATCATAAATAATCAAAATTTATACAAGATACGTGCGAAAAACAATACCCTTCCTTCAGTCGGATAAAAATTAGAATTGTGAAAAATTCACACATTTTTTTTGTGACAAATTTACTATACTCTAATACTATAACCCTCTCCATTATAGTCATGAACTAGTTACTACTACTAACTACTTTTACTTACATGTTAATTCGCATCTCCTGGGCTTATCCTCGACATCAAGCTTCATCCCTAAGATAATTTAATTAAAATGAAATTATAACAATGTTTGTTACTAGCACGCGTCACAGGTTCACAGAACAATGTTATACCTAGCTAATCCCCTTCCCAAATTACCGGCAACATACTTGTAATATAACTCCTTGAGTGTTGCAGGTGGAGCTGCCGATTGGTTACCATCAGGTCATAGGTGTATTAAAAAAAAAACAGTTATTACCTTCCATATTTACTGTATGTAATGAATTTCCTTGCCTCGGTTGTGTCAAAGCTAAAACATTTTAGTTTAATTTATTAGTTATCACACTAACTACATCCTATAATTATGAGTTCCAACCTGAAACTAGTCGTGCAACGTCTTTGAGAAGTGAACGAACACACCTCACGATATTTACCCTCACAATAGTTGAGAATAAAGAAAAGTCACTGAGAATTCCAATACCTATACATCTTCAAGTACTTTAGAACTAACAACTTATGGGCCAAATGATATGCACGTACCCCCCATAAATGTATAGAAGGAATAGGCGTATAATAATATTATGATATTTATTTAGAAATTTTAAACAAGTAAAAAAAAATTTTTAATTAACTCTATTCCACAAATTGGGTGGAAAAATTATATTATAATATTGTATGGTCAAGAAGATCGACTTAAGCGACAAGATCTTACAAATTAATGTGCCTATTCTAAGAATATTCCTGTTTCACAGGCGATAGTAACTCTAAAATTATGTTAATGATAAGACAACTAAACATTACCTGTTTTGTCTAATGCTAGAGCTTGAAGTGCATCTAAACCACTGAGGTCTTCTTCTGCAAATTAAAAAGTAATACAAAATAACATATTTTTTTACAGTAAACAGTTTTAATGAGCTTCTACTCTACCAATCAAGTCCTTTCGTTTGATGTCCATAGGTAATTATAATATTGTATCATCATCAAGATGAAGATTGTGTACCAAATATCAACTCGATTTGAAAGTGGTACAAATCTGATTACTAAGAGACCCAATCAAGCGTTTACTTTTTAACACAGTCAAGTATTCATTACATGATAAGTGTTACGATTAATCGTAGGATTGTATTGAATAGACGGGAGAATAAAACGTCCGAACCCTCATTTGATTCTCTCGTCTTGGATGAGACTGGAAGCAGTTTCAGACTCTTATTGACCAAACACCATCCCATTTCTACTCCTGCCGTAAACTGACACAAAGTTGTCCGCAGTCTCGAACAACTGCTCTATAAGATGATGTCTATACCATCATTCACCCACTTACTGCAACCAATTATTCCTCACGATTCTGACTTGTTCCTTATTAAGTTTTAATAGCGTCTCACCCTACACAGTAGCGAAAAGGTCATTTAGATTTTCGGAAACAAAAAATTATATATTACCTATCAAGAAAACCACCATTTTCTTGGTTAAAACTGCAAAAATGTAATAATTTTTATTTAAATGGATTAATGAAGTAAGTAAATATGCGGATTATTTTATTTAATTACGTAAAAAATGACTTACAGTATCCTGCAAAGATCTTATCCGCCAGTTCTTCGGGACTTTTTGATGAAGTGACAATTCCTTTACCTTCTATAATGTGATAAAATATTTTGTTTTATTACTAATTAATAAAATAACATTACTTGGAAGACCCCAAAAATAACAATGGAAAAAATATTTTCCATCGATTTAAACCTAGTAACAAAACTTACCTCCTGGATTTTCCACTGTAAAATAAATAATGATTATAAAATATAAACAGCTCTCAATAATCCTGTATAGAACGTATTATTATAAGAAAATTCAATCTAAATTGTCACTAAATAATTATGTGCGGGCATCGTATGGTTATATTGTACATATTGTAGACCCCAAAACAGCTGAAATGATATTTAATGAAATTCTGTTCAGACTTTAGATAACGTAAAATTGAACATTTTAAAGAAATGATTTCATTGACCGTTTTTGTTAACCACCCCTTAAGATTTGGTTATTTTCATATTTATAGCGGGTCAGACATTTTTTTTATAGGGTGGAAATTCATCGAATGCCTTCTCCCGCCTAGGTGAGGCGGGAGGGAGTGTCAGACTCTTACTGACTAAAAACCACCCCGTTCCTACTCCAGCCCGTCGAGCCGGAGCCCCGGCAACCCGATTAGTCCTCCGCGGTTCCGTATCGGCATCAGCCCTATTGGGCCCCATCCTCGGGGGTCTGATAGCTGTTTGAGGCGCGCGCGGAACGCGAAGCGGGTCTGGTTCTGGTCGGGCGGCGAGCCATCCATGCTCGCCGTCCGCAGGTCCGTGCTTACGGTTGCCGCAGATAGCGTGTCAGGTATAGGTTGGTGAAAACAGAAGTTTTGTTCAATATCACCACCTATCTTAGCTTAGGGGTTCCTTAAAATTAAGGAGAGGTTGGTGAAATGAGCATAATATATGACATTTGAATTTAGATTTAATTAATAAATCATACAAGAACTTTGAAAAAAGGCGGGCACAGTCTCTTGAAACAACGACTGTGGCACCTGGCTACTCTAGACTTACACACAGAATACACACACACTGACACGAAAGACATCTGTCGCGTGACATGGCCCGTCTTCACTTCATGCTAGTACACTCACACATAAATACACCACCGACATTGTGGTGTTTCAATCATGTCAAGTGACATTACGTCTGTCTTTTTTTCAACGTCCATGCTGTGACGTAATAGACACGTAACTTTAAGTAGGTACAAACCTTTGCTCAGCAACAATACAGTAAGCGGTAACAAGTCCTTTGGAGTAAAAGTGTCACCTGCACAATAAACAATGTTGTTATTTTTAATTCTAACAGTTTAATTTGTATATCGGCTATATACAAGTATAACTTTTTATGCTTCACCTGACTGCAATGGCCTGATAAAAACATCTGCAAAATAATTAAACTTAGTTTTAAAATTTTACACACAAAATGATCTATTCTAGGTTTTTGAACGTTGTCTATATGTATAGAAAATTAAAATGTCGTTAATTTAACAGCTTTACTTAGAACTGACCTGAAAATAAAATCAATCTCAAATCGTCATTTTACATAATTGAGTTTTCTTCATATTAATCCCTAGGTAGATCAATTCTGAATTCCTGATATTTGAGTTTATTATCGGTTACTAATTTCAAACGTAAATCAAAATTAATATGTGAGGCCATGCTTACTGTCAGGAGTATTGTTTAGTTGGTCGTTTTCTTCAGGAGTGTTGTTCTTTTGGTCCTTTCCTTCAGACGTTTTGTCCTGCTGGTCCTTTCCTTCATGATTATAGTCCGACCATTCCTTTCCATTTCCTTCTTCGGAAATAAAGTCTTCATTAGCTTCAGATTTGTCTTTGTTATTTAATTCATGTTCTTTATAAGATTCTCCATTGAAATCAGTTGACCCCACATCAACCAAATGTGTGAATGTAATATTTTGATTCTCTATATCAAATTAAATTGCTCGTAGTATGATATTTTACATAAAAAGACTAAACATTCTTTTAGCACTTACCAGTAGTACTTACCATTGGACTCTGACTCTACGTAAACCTAAATAAACATTTTTTTATTTATAATATTTTTTTTATTCATTAAAGAAGGTTTTATCATAATAAAACATATCGCCCATATAGAAACTTTAAACATAGTTATGAATAAATCGAACTATCAACATTTAATTTACAAATTTTAAATTTATCCTAGCAGATTAACATGTCGGGCAGGCAAGACTTGAGTTGTATATTCCTATTTAATTGACAAAGGCAAATTCATCTTTTTCGGACACTCCACTAAAATATGATAACCGTCTTCAACGATATTGCATTTTGTGAAATTTAGAAACCCTACTTTACCTATAACTATTCTGAAACTATTGAATGGAATGTGTCCGGTGCGAAGTCATGTTACAATTTCTAATCAACACTATTCTACAGCACTGGGGTTAACACCAATACAATATTTCAATTACAAAACCAATTTATTATGGCTTATTCCATAAAAAAAAAACAAAAATTAGATACTCACCAAATCAAACCCAATAATAAGCAAAAGTAAATAATGATACCGAAACATGCTTCATGACATAGCACCTTCCAGTTAGAATTATTTATAATTAAAATTAAAATGTAGCTATGCAAAATTAATTGATATCTACCATTTGCATTTGATGGGATTGCAGTAAGCGTGAAATGTATAGAATTTTACGACCATTTGATTTGAATAGTGACGTGAAAGTAAATCTAGGATAACTTTTTAACTGCAAGTGAAGTAAAGCCGGCTGGCGATTTAATTGTGTGATTTGTGTGGTATTTTTTACACATAAGTATAAATATACACATAAGTATATATATTTTTTACACATTTTTTTTGAAACATGCAATTTAATGTTGGTATTTGTATTATTTCTCAAAATAAATAAACTAAAATTCACAAATTAGTGACGAACCGTTAACAGTGTTAGTGTTAATTCGTTTTCGATTTTTATTTTATTATTTTATAGATATCATATCTTTCAGTTTAAACGTCATTCCCTTAGGACACTGTAAAATGTGACTTAATACGTGTTTATTCGGATAAATTAGTTAGTTTTAAGTATGACTGAAATAAGTTTCTGTAGAATCCGCCTGCATTAATCTTTAAATACACTCAAAATTCGTTTTTTTTTTTCATAAACAGTAATCATAGAAGGCGATAGCAGAAAGTGTCCATTTCAGTGTCACGAACACTACGAACAGAGAAAAAAATAAACTAACATTTCACTCTATTTCACTCTTATAGTATTCAATTAAATTTCAAGATAAAGGAAAACACACTGTGGAACATCAGAGGATTCAATAGACGTTAAAAATGTGTTTGTAAATATTGCAGCGCCACCTATTGATGAGAGTTATAAAAATAAAACCTCACAATATGGTAATAAAGGGTTTTATAAATTAGATTTGTGAAAATGAGAGATATTTCTCATTGTGAAAGAAAAACACCTTTCGTTGCAGGCGCTCTACAGTCCTCCATACTTGTTCAGATTTGCGTGTTCGTTTCCTACTAAAGTTATTCAACTAGGTACCGTACTATGTGTTTACTCCTTCCTCGATATTACTTTCGAGTCGTCACAAATCCTTACAGCTGTGCGTTTCTACTTTAATAACCAGGTGTCGGATAGGTTATTGCGTCATGTAACAGTGTTCGTATGATGTGTCGCTACGTCATCAAACTCACTCTAATAATGGCGCCCACCCACAAACCAACCGCGCGGGCACGGTAACAACGCGTAATAATTTGCACTGTGATCGTAAACGTAACAATTAGATAATGAATAGGTATGGCATGAGTTTGTGAATAAAACTATTAGCTTGTAATAACATTGCGATTCAAAGTCTCAACACACACAGTAGAGCCATCGATTGCTTATATTTCCAATATCGGACAAACCTTAACTATTGCTGCTTCAGAAAATTTTGAAATTGAATGAGACCTTAGGTATATTTGTAAAGAAAAAAGGTTTTCTTTAACTTTGAATTGATTACTATTATCAAATAGTCTTTGATTTTTAAACGTCAATAATATATGATTATTGTGTAGAATATAACATTAAATGTCGTTTTTTAATTTAAAAAAGCAACACATTACTTTTATTAAATTCTAAATCATAAGAATAGTCTTATATATACTTATCCTTAATAGACATAGATACATAAAAGTTATAATTTTGGTTAGAGTTTTCATGCATCAAATGTTTAGTTATAAAATAATCTGCATATAGATACCAGTCACCTGTTCTCAACTTAGCTCCACCATCAGACACGAATGGATCAATATTTTCCTTCCGCATATCACGTGCCTGCAACTTAATTTTAGATCAAGCGTGAACGCCATTGTTGCGGTACATCTACTCGTAAATACCTACATCTATAGCATACAAAACATTCTGGGTTTTTATAATAACAAGGCTAATTCTATTCTGTTTAATATAATTTATACAATTTTAGTACAATGATATCACTATCTTCCCCCGTCGCGTTGTCGCCGCGGAGTCTGACATTTACTTCGTACAATAATAAAGCGACATAAGCGCCGTGTAACTGAGAAGCCTTTTGTTTTTGTTGATCCTATTTAAAGCGAATAATTTCCATAATGTTGTTACAGATTATCTTATTTATGTTACGATGTTTTATATTTGTCGAGAAAAGTGAGATGTCATTACAAAAAATAGTAAATTTCGAAGTAGAAATTTGGTTCCGATCACGTATTGGTTCGTGAGAAGATCAGATTGAACAGCTTGAGATATCGTTCGTGCGAGCTGTCAGGTCGCGGCGGCCGCTCTGCAGGCGTTAGTGAAAGGTTGCGGCGCGATGACCCGCGACAGATATGCGCTCGCGCAGCGTCCGCCCCATGTTCCAGTGGCACAAACGTTTGTTCCATTGTGAAGTCTGCAGTTTCGCCACTTAGCACGACTCTCACCACAGGGAAAAGTTGCTAACACCTCAAATTACTAACGAGTTTCGTAAACAACGCATTGTCCATTTGATCTAGATTTCTTTGTTGCTCGTTCTTGCATTTACTCCAGTTAAGTTATAGTTAAGTAGGGGTTATCTCGCACGCCCTATTGTGAAACAATCCTTTTTACGTTGCGTATGACGGGCGTGATGCAAGAAAATATATTCAGTAGCAGAAAATAGGTACTTCTTTAAGTTATACATGTCTACCTATACAGTTACATAGGTACTTACAGTAGGTATGAATACACCCACGATACACGGGGCATGTTTTTATGAAGTAGGTAAGCAGTGAAAATGAAATCTTTTTCCTGAACAGGGGAGAGATGCGGGTAACAAAAAATTTACCACGAGCTACAAAATATTCGTAGACATGGGTACATTGACCTCTTAAAACGCTATTTCGCGTATTCCCTTCCACTAAATCTCAATTTAAATTGTTTATGAAACCTTTTTCACTGAAAACTGAAGAAAATATTCCGTACGTAAATAGCCACAAGTCGCCGTGCTCATGGGAAAGATTTCCACGTAATTGGCGGTGTTACGGTCTATTCAGATTGTCAGCTGGCGCGAGGAAATTGTAGTATGTGGCCGATCAGCAGGGGGTGCACTGTGGGCCGATGTGCCGTGGCGCACAGCGGCCCATTCAATGCAGTGTGTACTCGACCTCACAAGCCGGTGTGTGTGTGCATCACTACTTCAACAAGATCTAATATAAAAATCAGTAAAATGACATAAAAATTGGTTTATTTATTCTCGTCAAAAATGTTTTATTTTCTTATAAAAGCCGCAACCGTGTTTGTTGAGAGTTACGAGCATTCAATAAAAAATCTATCAACTCCGCTGTACAGCTAAGAGAAACTACTTTTACGAGACTTATTTCATATCATGAGTATGATGTTTTAAGATTCGTTGAAATTGATATTCATTGCTTTCAAATCTCTATATGAAAGTCGTAACATTTCAATATAAATTGTATTTGAGCAATAAGTTAAACTATTTAGCTATAGCATCAACAACAAACAGCGATTCAACACAAAATGGGTAAAAGCTAAAGTTTTGTGTACAGTTACTAAAACCTTGTCAAACTGTCGTAAAGTTGGAAAGGTCTGTGATAAATGAAATAACCGAATAAAGATCGAATTGAGCCGGATATCCTAGGACGGTACGTTGCCCGCCCACGTCACATAATTTTACGGCAGCCGATAGAGACCCGCCGCGCCGCGCGCCGTCTAGACGCGACAAAAGCGCTAGACTCGTTTTACAACCACTCTAAGAGCAACCGAATGCTAGCCGCGCTCCCGACTGATCCGCCGACAAATCCGATTTCAGAATGCACATGGTAATACTACTAAGGTGTAATTTTCGATAGATGCGACTGCCACGCTAGCGGTAGGCTGACGCGCACTCCCGAGTACACCTCTCCAGTAAAGTAGATTGACATTCTATCGGCACAGATGCGATTGGTTGCACATCACACATGACGCGTGTAATACGTATTCCGCAAGGATTCTTCACATTTGAAACGTGAACACAAATATAAATATGTGTTTCTAAAAATACCGATACGGTGTAATCACAGACCATGACATTCGTGCATTAAAGTATGTGGAGACGAGTGGCGAACTGCCGATGATATAATCTTAAATAAATTAAGAATAATTTAGAATAACTGATAGTTATTTACAATCTATCCTGTCGCACTGGCGCTAAGTGAAATCATTAGAACTTCTCGGTGGAATCACCGTCACATCTCGTGACCTTACATTATATTACATGTTGTGTACATTTTTTATTATTAACTGTTGCAATATTTATGTTTGTGGTCAAGCATCAGGTTTTAGTTCAAAATATTTGCATGGTAACCATACAATACAAGGTCGATATGAGAACAATATGAGACAAGGAGGTAGCTATCAGAAAACGATTCATTGTTAAAAACAAAACAAGCGAGCCCATTATCTAGAACAGAACACTTCCTTTCACTTCAAACACACAAGCATCAATTTGTGTAATCTCAGGCCACTTACGGCAAAAACAATGAACCATTACACACGCCTTCGTCGACTGCGGGCAGAGTGCGTCGGGCCGCGCTGCAGTTACACCAGGAACAGACTGCTTGCTACACACACGGTACAGAGCTGTTACGATTCTGCAACATCGGTAATTATCTCGCTGCAACAAGAAACTGAAGCATCGCGTACAAAAATCTATTTTTAACTAGGTATCATCTTTCGACGATTTCTAGCAATAACACGCTTTCACTTAGTTTCTCTTAATGCGGAGTGACTCTTCATATTCAATCGGTGCTCTGTAGCTAGATTACTAAAAGAGCAAATACTATGTGCAACTGGCAAAAGTTGTCGCAAACTAAGTCTGAACGCTGACTTGAGCGTAGTTGAAGATATCGGCCGCCGTAAGTGCTCTTGTCTCTAAACGCATTCCCGACGTCTCAGTCCACTTGACAAAGAGAATTGAAATCCACAAGCTTCTTGTTGGCCGTAAAGCGGCTCACAGTGGCTTAGTGAGATCCAGGACGTATATAGCCGCGGATGTTCTCGTATATCTTGTGGACGCCTGTCCTGCCGTTGTGCACTTTTAATAATCGATATCTC